TTTTGAAATGATCTTACTGAATTTCTCACATTGGCTCAAAACTGTAATCTTCCTGCCGGAGCCTCGTGAGTAGCAATGATTACAGAAGTGTTAGCACCATGCTCTTGTGATCCTATAGTTTTAAACTGGTGATCTATTTAGTTCATCTCAGTCCCTGACAATAGTAAACTTTATATACTTGTGATTACTGAGATTGAACAAACTGGTTAAGTGAATGGATGAAGGATGTGAGAATAGTATAGTTATACCAGCGTTGGCCAGATGTCCTGGTTCTATAGTATACAAGTTGAATATTTTACTGAGAACTAATTCAGGTAAGTGTGAATGTTGGAAGGAATTCATTGAGTCTGTCAGATTTAGCCCAGGATAAGAATGGTTCTGAAGATTGGGAGATATTTTTACTCATTAATTATTCCATAATTGGGGAAAATAGCCCTGTTTGAAATTTGTCTCCATATAATCAAGGAGATTCATTTTATCATTTGATGCAAACTGCTATTCGCTGATTCTCTATGCAAAGAATATTCATTTTCTATTCCCTGAAACCACTGAATATTTTCAAAGAGAAAGTTAGTTTTAATGTTTTCTTAAGTGAGGCAAATGGGGAATCCAAATTTAATGTAAATAATTATGTTTTCAAAAGCTAATTTGAATCTTTCAAAAGCTAATTTAAATCATTGTGGAATATCTGCTGTTTTAGATTATTCACCCAATGCCTCTAGCATCTAACCATGGATAATGGGATTGTAGATGATTAGTAAATTGAACCTGATTCTCTATGTTTATAAACAGTGGGATGCCAGCAACCGAATTTCCTAGATTTTTATTGTGAAGAAAAGCTTACTCTTTTCTAGATAGAACTTCTTATGTTTGCATCTATAAGAAAGTCAAATATTTTATCAAGACATTTCTATCATTGGCATATACATGAGCATAAAAGTGATTCCCTGTGACTCAATGAATACTTACTCAAAGGAAAGAATTACATCATAACACTGTCCCTCAGTCCTCCTTCCCAGACACACGGGGCTCCTGGTCAACTTCTCTTTTCTTTCCAGCAACCCATTTCTTCCCCATCCACCTTGAACTTCTTACTGTTCCATTTTTCTTTTTATCCTCAGGCAATTATTTTTCCTTGCATTTCATAAGAATATGAAGCCATTAGCCCTAAATGCTTGCAGATTTCTGCCAGGAAGTTGACAGGTTTGTCAGAAATTCCATCCTGCCTTCTTTATTCCTCTGACAAAGTAGGAGGAGACCACCTTCTCAGAGGCTGAGCTGTCACCTATCTCTGGACCATCTTCTACTTCTTTCTACAGACATCAATACCCCTGCATCAGCACGGAAAGATGCTCATCTATGACATTAAAAACTCTCTTAAGAGCTCAATCATTCAATAGTGAAAAATCCAAATGATCTCATTAAAAATTAGAGAAAGTTCCTCAACAGCCATTGCCCAAAAGAAGACATACAAATAGATAATAGTTATTTGAAAGCATTCTCAACATCCCTCATCACCAGGGAAATGTGAGTGAAAGCTACACTGATGAGGCACCTCACATATGTTAGAATGACTGCTGACAAAAAGAAAAAAAGGTCAATATTGGCAAGTGCATAGATACAAGGTAACTCTTGCATACTGTTGGTGGGAAAGTAAATTATCATTATGGAACATGGTATGAATGCGTTTCAAAAAATTGAAAACAGAACTACTATACACATAAGAAATCCTACTACTGAATATGTGTCCGAAGGAAATGAAATTGATATGTTGAGGAGATAGCTTTCTCTGTTGCTCACTTTAGCATTATTCCCAATTTTATGGCATAAACCTAAGCAGTCATTGATAGGTGAGTGGATAGAGAAAATGTGGTACACACATGCAAACACACACACACACACACACACACACACACACAGAGAGACACACACACAGACAGACACACACAGAGTCAATGAAATATTATTCAGCCTTAAAGAAAGAAAGTCCTATCGTCTGTGACTGCCTGGACAAACCTGGAGGACATTATACTAGATGAAGTGAGCCAGGCACAGAAGGACACATACAACACCATCTTGTTTCTATGTGGAATCTAGAAAAGTTGAACTCATAAAAGCAGAGACTAGAATGGCAATTTCCAAGAACTGGGATACAAAAGGTACAGGATTTCATTATACAGGTTAAGTAAGATCTGGAGACTTAATTTGAAGTATGTCACAATGGATACTACTGTTTTATATATTTGAAATTTGCTATAGATTTAATGTTAATTGCAAAAAAATGTATTTATGCAAGGGTGATACGTGTGCTAATTAGTTTGGTTATGGTAATCATTTCACAAAGTATATTGAAGTGTGCTGAATATCTTAAATATAGACAATTTTATTTGTCAATTATACTGCTATCAATCTATGAATAAGAACTATCAGTTAAAAGGGCTGAAAGCACAAAAATAATAAGAGCTTTAAGCTCATGTTTCAGACCAGCCTTTACACTGAGTTCTATTTGTTCTAGACCCAAAATTCTAGACCCTTTTTTTTTTGTATAAGGAATTGAACTCAGGACCTTGTGCTTTCCAGACAGGCGCTGTGCTGCTGAGCTGTACCCCTGGCTCAAAGAACCGAAATTCTCAAATGGTGCAAGTATTCATTGTCCATATTCTTTCACCCCAATCCATTTCTAGTTTAGTCTACAACTAATTTCAGTCTGGATTCTGATCCATCTTTCTACTTAAACTTTTCAACTCTATCGTTGTCTTTATTTCTAAATTAATGGGTACATCAAAGTTTTTATTTCATTTCTTCTTGAATATTCAATACTGCTAACCATTCTCTGTCAGCAGAACAAGATACGTAATGGGCAGACTAAGCAAAGCCTTGAGGTTCTTGACAAATGAGGACACCTTCCAAAGATATATCCAGTTAATGAAATATTATTCAGCCCTAAAAAGAAATGAGATAGAAAGCCATGGAATTATATGGACAAATCTTAATTTTTTTTGCATACAATGATACCTTGGTACTCATTAAATCTCTAGGAAGTGTAACAAGTACCAAAACCAAGTACCAAACAAATTGTTTTGACTGGAAAAAGTAGTGAGTCAGGAGGTAGTTGACACAAACAAATTCTAGTTTGAATATCCAGTACCAAACAAGCAACAATGTTTACACCAAATGTGTCAAGTGCCAAATTTGACCAGTTTCAAAGCAGTCATGTACCAAAGTATGACTGTATTACTAAGTGACAGTCTAAAAAACCTATACTGTTATACTCTACTGTATACTATATGACATTTAAGAAAAAACAAATCTATGGAGACAGTAAAAAAAATCAGTAGCCCACATTTGTACACCAGCACTCTGAGCGGCAGAGGCAGGAGGATTAAAAGTTCCCACTGAAGCCAGGGCAACTCAGCAATTTAATGAGACCTTGTAATTCAGGGGAAAATATTTTTAAAATTTTGTGGGGCAGGGATGTGTGAAGGACCTTGTTTCAATCTGTGATACTAAAAAGAATGAAAGAAAGAAAAAAAGAAAGAGAAAATCAGAAATTAAGGGAAGAGAGGAGTGAAGGATGAATAGAGGTAGCATGGAGGACTTTTGAGCAGAGAAAACACTCTATGATATATAATATTGGATACATGACATAAATTTATTCAGAGCCACAGAATATACAACAGTAAGAGAGATATCAATGTAAACTCTAGAGCTAGGGTATTATGATATGTGCTCACAAAATACAACAGATGCGGCCCTGACGCGCAGAAGTGATGGTGGTTGAGGCCACACTTGGATGTGGCAGGGGTGTGCAGGACTCCCTGGACTTTTGCCTCCAGTTTCTGTATCTAAAAGTGCTCTAAAAATGAAGTGCACTAAAAGAAAAAAAACCCAGCTTCCCTGTTTTGTTTTGTGTGTTTTATTTTTCCTTAAAATTCTCCCTCCGGAATTCTGTTGCTGTAGAATTCAGTTGCTGTATTCTTTTCTGAGGACACTTTGTTTCTTTGCCATAGCTGTGCTCTTGTCCATCTGGGAGTCTGGCTCACCTCTCCTATCTCTTGGGATTTTCCGACTTTGCCTTTTCCTTCCCATCTTTCTGTGCCTTCTCTCTCACCGTGACTGCATTTCCCCCTGTGCCTGTGAGTCTTTACCCCACTCTCAGCTGGGAGGCTGCCTTCCAACCTAATGCATCTCCAGTGCTCTGTACAACATTCAGCTTGTAAAGCATTCAATGGACACCCAGAGAATTTAGGGGCTGGAACAGCTTTGACCCATCTCGCTTAGACTTGCTCAAGTCTGTTTTCTACTGTTCTAACCTCTTTGTAGCAAATAACTGAATATCACTAAAAAACAAGCAAATTATCACAGACCTAAATGACTTCTTATGAGAACCACAGATACCACAAGGCATCCAGATAAATCTGATTTTCAGATACGTAGTACATAATTTTAATATATGTCCATTGTTCTATAGTGTGTTTATATTTAATATTTGCATAATATTTGGGTACATTTATACTAAAAATCTTCACTATCTGCTATTCAAATTTAATTGGATTCCCTTCATCTTGTTTAGCAATCCTATCAGGCCTCTGATAACTGTTTCCTGGTTAATAGAATCACTTGTTTAAACACAGCTAATAGAATTGCATAATTACTTCTTTCCTGAATTCTCCACAGTAAATTTCTGCTATGGAAAACCTTTTACACTTTTCAGCACTTGTAGCAAAGCTTTTATATCTCAGCTTAGAAAAATGTTTTACCACTGTAGAAGGAAAAATTATTTTGCCTATGTGCTATTACTGCTTCTTGGAAATAGAGTACTTTACACATGTAATTCACATGCGATACGATTCACACATTTAAAGCACAAAATTGAATGACTTTGAATGTATTCCAAATTGGGAAGCTGTTACCACAATCTAATTTTTAGCGTGTTTTCCTCACCCCAAAGAAAACCCCATCTCTAATTAACAGTAATTCTTCATTTGCTACTTCCTCCCGCCCCAAGGCAGTAAACAACCAACTGCAGGTCTTGATGGATTTACCTATTCTGGACATTTCAAATGAATCAAATCATACATATATGGTCTACTGGATACAATTCATTCCATTATCTTTTCAAGAGCCATCCATGTTGCATCATGTATCTGTACTGCATTCATTTTCACTGCATAATACTTCATTATATGGATATACCATCTTTCATTATCCATCCATCCTATGATGTATATTTGGATTGTGTTTCCACCATTTCTTGATCTAAAATTGACTTTTGTTAACTTTGTGTTTGTTGTCTATGGTCTGTCGTATGGAAAAAAGAGAGAAAACACTCTCTTTGTTTTAATATTTGTAGGGTTCTATTTTGCTTTTCAAGTTTGCATAGATATCTCTTGCCCTAGTCTTGTTTTATTTCACAAAAGAATATCTTCTTTGCCAAATATTTGCTTTCACAAAGAAAATGTTTAAATCAATACAAGAGTTATACTGAATCTTGTATTAGTAGATGCAGAAATAGGGCATGCTCTTCTATTCTTACTTATTTCTGAAACTTTAAATTTGAGAATTTGTGGCACAACAGGGCTGTCTGATGTGACATTTCTCATGAAGATCGAGACCATGGTGGATTTGAGTGTCTAGATTTGAGTGTGGTCTGACTGGGAAAAATGTGAAATTGAGCTACAAATCTGAAATTTTTAAGATAAAAAATTTGCAACCAAAACATATCCAGGCAATAAGGATATTTGAGTCTTTTGAAAACAAATACTCTTTTAGAGAAAGAGAGCACATGAATGTCAGCGGCAATCATGGTGCAATTTAGGAGCGTTAATTTCACCAAAGTAAAATTCCATGGCTATGTTTTCATAATGGAAGATTAATGGGATTGAATATAAATGTACTAAACTTCCATTAACAATTTCTTTTCATTCTTTCTTTTTCTTTCTTCTTTCTAAAATGATTTTCAAAACCTCTTGGGTAGACTGTATAGTTTGGCTATTACTGAGAGGAGCTGTAATACATTGCACATTTTTGCATAAATATTTGTGATTTCAAGATAATGCACAGGCATTGTGATGACCTAGGGAATATAAATTATTTCAGACCATGTAAACAGGTCTCCAAGTAAGAGAAATATGTATTTGCTTTGTTTTTAAACGTGATACCCATTTTTGGCTATTTAAAAATACGCAAGAAACAAAAACCTTTAGGATGTCAACTCTTTCTAAAGGTTGAATATCCCTCACCTATTGTTGTAGATTTAGCATTGGGCTTTCAGTGGCTTGAACCAAATTCCTTTTTACATGTGTACCTTGTTCCCGTCTGTCTTGTACAACATTCTTAAAGTTAACACTCAAGCACTACACATCTACAAAGAGGAACAGATCATTCCAGTCCATTGCTTGGTGTGCTTGCTATCTGACTTTTTGTTAGGAATTACTGATTATTCATTGTCTGGAATTCTGTTTGTTACGTATTAGTGATTTTGGTGACGTACCATGAAGAAAGAAGAAAGTGGATATTTAATTGAAGTAAACTGTAGAATGTGACCTTATCTCAGTGATGTAAAACTGAGGAACAGAGTGCATTTCAGGATTCATGAGAAGTAGTGACACTCTCAGAAGTATCTACATTTTCTCAGAAGACCACTGAACAGTGAAATATATAAGGCAGTGGTCAATTTCATGGACTCAAAAATTAAGAAATATTTTTAGATCTGGTCCAGTTTGTTGCCAAGTAATTGATCTGAAAGGATTTGGTTATCTAGCAGCTTCTGTTTTTTAAATACCTTTTATATGCCTTACCCCACGAGAAGCAGAAAAGACAGTTGTCCACATGATGTAAGCTGAAGTTATTTTTAAAAAAAGTCATCAATTTCAGTTTTATCTTACTAATGTCAGAGAATGTCCTTTGTTTTCCACTTTTGGACTCTTGTCTTTGAAACTGTGAGTTTTCTGGAAGGATTCATTGAGTACTTTAATCATTAACTCTCCAATTAAGATTAATTTACTACATTCGCCCAATGTGTTAATAGCTGAGGCTTTTTTATTTTACCTTTAAAAAATACATTGTTAACTGACAAAAATCAGGGTGCTCATGTAACTTGCTCAGGATCACAGAGCAAACAAGTGGATGCATTGGGTTTTCAACTCCGTAATATTTACTGGGCATTTCATGACTCAAATACATAGAAATGAAACCTTCAATTTAGCTAAGCTTCTGAATGAGGAGAAAGAGGCAGACTAAAAATGTGTGATGCTGCCAAAGAGGAAAAATCCAAAGTGGGAGCAACCTGGGGGTACGGTGATTTGGGCAATAAGAAGAGAAAGATTTCTGAAAGGCAAAGCAAAGAGATACAGGGAATAAGTATGTCGGCTCACAGTTTCCTTTAGTGCTTACATCATTTGGATTCCTAGAACTCAGTTCCTCTGGGCTTCACATTTGTTAGGTTTGCTCCACTTCATGTATCCCTGTGCTTCCTCGGCAGGGCTTTAACACTCTCTAAGGAGCCCTGGTTAAATTTTAGCCTTGATCCTAAAGCTGAAATTGTAGCCTTATTCAACCTCACACAGAATGAATTTGCTTCCTACTAGCATTTAAGACTTTAGGGGGCTTTTTATTGAATTTCCATGACTAGGAGGAAAAGACAATTGAGATGGGGTGCTAAATATACATAAACAAGCATGTGGACATATCCAATGGCACATCTCCATGTGTCACTGAATATTTATGGCAGGTCATAGAGCTTATGGAAAAAGAAGAAATAGTTACATCATTTTTCTTAACACAATAACCTTCATTGTCTCTTTGCCTCTAAAAGGCACTGTAGAGCAAGACATAGTGTGTTTTTTGTTTGTTAGTTTTACTTTCTTGAGACAGAATCTTGCTCTGCAGGGCAGACTGGCCTTGAACTCACAGTGATCCTCCTGCCTTAGCCTTCTAAGAGCTGGGATTACAGGTGTGTGCCACCATGCCCAGCTGGCATAACTTTTGATATGGACACAAGGATGACATTTACTATTATTTGTGTAATACATCCTTGACGCAAACAAATGATGCCACAGGCAAATCTTCAAATTTAATTATCAGGTTAATCTAACCAGAAATCTTAGCTGGAAGCTATAAGCAGAACATAACAGAGCTGATAAAATTTATTAACTCATTCTATAAATATTTGTAGAGCTCCTACTGTAAACCACTGTATTCACTCTTGTCTGGGAACTGGGAGCATAGCAGAGCACTCACTAGGCAAATCTGAGGCTCTTCCTCCAAGGGAGCGAGAGAGGAGCACATGAAAAGAATTATTATCTGCGTGTTATTAGGGTTAGAACCTTCACCCCTGTTATTCACTTTGCTAGAAAATTTCTCACTCACACTTTTACTAATTGCTACCCTCTCTTAAGTTTTTGGGTTAAGCACCCTTGCTCTGGAGGGTTTCTCTGACAAACAGGATCATAATCAGGATTCATAGATCTGTCCTTCCCAAATGCTCCATGAAACCTTGCCAAATTTATTTTTAGCTCTAAAGTGATAATGTTTTCTTTGTATGTTTTCCCTGCCAGATTACAAACTTTGAATCAGAATCACAACATCTTTTATCTTTGTACTCTTAAATTCCGGGTTTGTGAAATATTCTTGCCATGTGTGTGTGTGTGTGTGTGTGTGTGTGTGTGTGTGTGTGTAGATATTAACTTGTACTTGTTACATTCTGGCATGTGAAACTCCAAAGCTATACCTTTATGTCTCTATATCAGTCAGTGTTAACTAGAGAAACAGATGTAACAAGATACACAAATGTATAAGAATTTACAAGACAGGCTTACCATGGTTATCCAGAGTTGGATGAGGAAGCGTGCATAGGGTATCTGCACACCGACAGCCAAAGGTTTCCATCTAAGGTCTGGAGCTCACTGCAGTGTGCCGTGCGAGTCCGCCCAGGAGGCTGGTGAGTCTGCAGTGGAAGCCAGGAGATGACATCTAAGGTTAAAGACTGGAGCTCCATGAAGAAGCAGAGCAGATCCATCCTTGTTTCCCTTTGACACTATACAGAGCGGGGTCCTCTACACCGTGGGGTATGGAATTGCTGAGCTGATTTAAACTTCTCTTAACTAAACTTCTTAAGTTGACATAATCAATGAACTATCACAGTCTCAATACCCAAATACCTGGTATAAGAACACTGAGGAATGGCACATGGTGAACCCAGTGTTAATGGGAAGATGATAAGAGCGATAGCTTTGGAAACTTCTGTCTCCTTGCTGCATACTAGGCAATGTCATAAGCAGTTCCTGCATCTTTACTCCTGCAGTATCCCACTATTCTAAGAAAACTGAGGCCCCGAAAGATCAAGTAATTTGGCTACATGGCAACTAAATTGTGGAAGAGGATGTGAACCCCAAATCTTGGCTTTAAAGCTCACATTCCTAATATACCTGCTGTATTTCTCTAGTGTAATAAAAGGGATTGCTTGATCTGAACAATGCAAATAAAAAGAGTAAGAAGACTAGAGAACTACCACTTGAATTGGACCAAGACATTCTCCCATGTATTAAAAACTGATATGTGAAACTACCACTGATGCCTATTTTTCCAAGAATAAAATTAATTGCTTATTAAACAGATGGAAGAGTTCAGCCAAGAGGAAAGTGCTAAAGTACATAGCCTATGTGAAAGAGAAGGGCAAGCTCAGTATACAGTGATTTGCCAAAAATACTTTCCCAAATATGTCAGCGAGACAGCAGGCAGGTGACTAGAATACCAAAGTCCACAGGACAGAGACCAGCATAAGTGAAGAGCAGGCAGTGAAAAGCTAGATGACAGGTGAACAAAACCCTTTTATCTTTTTCAAGGAGTCTTGTGTGATGAAATAGGAGAGATGAGTCACAGAGCCGTAATTAGAGAGGGTAGAGTGTTGTAAATCACAGATTATGGGTGGAATAAAGTACCTTGGTGACTTAAACAACTAATATCAAATAATATTTTGGGGAATATATTTGATGTGCTCCCTTTTGATAAGCATTCTGTGCCACTTAAGTGGATTCATGAATAGCCTGACATATATACTGAAGATGTCTTCACAGTCCAGAGCCAAAACAGGTTCTGGAGAATAGAGGTGAGATTTGTAAATACCTGCAGAGTAATCTAGGGAAAAAAATCCATGCATACTATATTAAAGCATAAGCAATATGGTTTTCAGGGTAAGGATGAAATATTTTCTTGACAAATTCTAAAATAGAATATAAATATTTTCCTGCTATAGTAGGATATATGCTTTTCTGAGAAGCCTCATGCTTCTCCAAATCCTGTCTAAAAAGTAACCTAATGGAAAAAACAGAACTGGAGCTGACTATTTGTAATTGTGTAACTTTATGAACAATGCAAAACAGAAAAACAACAGCTCTAGCTATTTATACTAATTTAGATAAATAGAATGCAATGCCTTTAGAAAAACAAAGCTATGGTAAGTTTTGGATGCTGTCCTGAGAGGAGAAAAGGTCAATGTAGATACATAGGGGAATTATGAGAAACAGGTTTGAAGCTTCTGAGTTAGGAAGAAATGGGAGAGAGGTAATTTATCTGCAGGTGGAGAAACAGTTTCAAAGCTTTGCATAAAATGCACCCAGGGAAGAAAACCTCCCCCCAAGCACTTCGTGGACAATGTTTGTTTCCCTGGGGATACTATTGTGTCCTTTTGCCGCCTGCTGCAGCCAGCTGTTTTATAGTATTGTGCTCAACTGCTCTTACTTGGTGATACAAATGTTAAGGGGCTCGAAAATGTGAGCTTGAATCAAGGTGACCTTTGTTTACATGGTGCCAGGTTGTAGGGAATCCTGCTAATCAGAATTTTGTTTCTACCTTTTTGTCTATCAATCAATCAATCAATCAGTCAATGAATCAGTGAAGGACTGAGGCTGTTCATGGGCTTTCCCTCAGAAAAATGAAACTGTCTCCACTGTAGCACCTTAGAAAGCTTCCATTTGAATCTTTCCCCAGGTGGTCTTTTGGCTTTAGAGACTGGAAATCATGTTAATATTTCCTGAATTTAAAATGATGAAATATTGATACTTTCAATTCAAAATTTAAAAGCCCTCCAATGCTTCTGATCTCAATAAATTTGCTCTGCAGACTTACAAGAGTCTTCAAGATAACTGTCAAATATAAAACATATTTATCCTATGAAATTAAACAGGATATTTTTCCTTTGTGTTGAACTAACTTGTTAGTTGTTCATTTCTATTTTTACACTGAATACTAGGTTGTAGGATTTTTATTGCATCCTGATTCTTTTGCATTGGTAAAATCATTTTGAGGGAAGAAATACTTCTCTCAGTAGAGGTTAATTATTACTGAGGTGTGGCTGATCAAAAACATGACAACTTTATTGCTTATGTTTAGCTTTCAGCATATTTAACGTGGATAGCTGAGAAAATTAGAATGAAAAGAAGACTGTTTTATTTAATGAATTAATGCAATAGGAATTCAGATCCTGTACTGCCAAAGTTCAACTGAAGCTGCTTAGATCTTCTTTCATAAATCAACTGAGTTGTTTCAGTAATTTCATAGCCAATAAGATAATAATGTCTTCCTCTACCTTGTTTTTATCTCCTGCATTTGAGTTACATGCACACACTCATTTGATATACAACTTTACTTTTAAGATTTTTTATGAAAGATACAACATAATTTTATTCTAAATATGCACTTGACAATATGGATTCAAATTTAATTCACTGATGTGCAACCTTGCGTGTGATATCTGAAACCAGAGATTGTCAAATGGTATATCAAAAAGGTAAATTAGCATTTTCTCAGTGCAACCTGACATGACAGATGGGTAGGAGGAGGGCTGTTATCCCTGAGAAGAGACTAAATATATTATAATCTTGATGTATACACAAACTGTATAAAGATCTTCATAAAAGAATTTTCCATGCAAAGGATATTTTTCCAAACTCATAATAATTAGTTAAGTCCCCCATAACTCTATTCTATGCTTCTGTGAATAGCTTTGTAAGGCATCTGTTCATGGAAATCACTTTATAAGGTATTTACTGAGAGCATACCGATTTGAATACTTTATGTGAGGATATTACTGTCCTTCGAGCAGTAACAATAATAAGATTAATCTTGCTAATAACAGCTACCACATCCTAGGCACTGTTCAAATGCTCTGTATTCTGACTCTCCTTACACATGGTCACCTCACAAGAACTGCCTCAAGTGATGAGTGATGTGGACAATATTAGTTCTTTAAAATCAGAAGGCGCCGAGTACCAAAAGAGCCATGTGATAGCCTGCGGAGGAGAGGGAATTCTTGGACAGGGAGCTGGAGAGCTGCTAGGTAACAAAAACTCAGAAGTAGGAACCCTGCATGGTCTAAATGGAAGGAGAGCATTTAGGAAAGAAGTCCTGGTGGAGAAGGTGGGGCTTGAGAATGAAGCTGGTGAGTAAAAGCTGTGGAGTTTGTTTAACAGTGTCAGCCATGCAGATCATTGAAGACTACGAATAAAGGGAGTGATTAGAAAGCAGTAATCTGCAAGTTTGGATGAGAACACAGCAGGGTGAGCTGGACGGAGGCAAAATAGTGAGACTAACCAGGAACTGAGTTGCATTTGTCTAGGAAAAGGGATAAAGTGGTGATTATAGGAAAGGAAAGAGGATTTGATACTTTATTTGCTATGAAGTTTTTTTTTTTTAATTGCATTTAGATTAGAGGAGGAATCAAAGATGACTGAGATTTTCTTGCTTCAGATGACCAGCAGATGGGCCCTGTTTATGGAAGGCAAGTGATGATTTAGGTCGTAGAGATTTAAAGTGCTCAGTAGCCAGCACAGATATAGAAACTTTCCATCACCACGAAAACTTCTATTAGATGGCACAAGTGTAAGCTATAAAACCATCTTAAGCGCTGTCTGGTATCATAACCAGATGTGAAGTGCCATATATAGATAATAATCTCATTTTAACAGATACAACAATATTTCAAGACTGCCTCTGTGTTTGTTAAATCTTGTTACAATGGGGCTTATTTGCTACACAGTGTGGGGTTAAGTTTTCTTTGATAGTATAAGCAGTTTTTGAAAATAGTTATGAGCTTTTTTTTTCCACACAGCTATGAATGGGAGTTGGGGTGACAGGAAGTAGCAAAAGGAGATATTTTAAGAACCTTGAAGCATTAATCTCTTGGGATGGGGCAGGGTATTGCTCTGTCTGTGTTTCGCCTTTTGACTTGAGTGCACCCTATGTTCTTATTTTGTCGGGGTGAAAGAGGTCCCCTGAGAGCACAGAGAGTGAATATGTTTGGAGCCCAAGGCCTCAACCCAGCGCACTTTACAGAGTAGCTCAGTGGTGCAGTAGTACTTTGAATGGAGAAAAATTGGGCTTGGGAAGAGGGGTGTCCTCCATTTTCAACTAGAGGTTTCCTATTAGCAAAAGAAAAAGAACACAAGAGTGGAACATAATTGTAATGCAAAGTGACAGGAGCAGAATGGGATCTCCGTCTGTAAATTCTGTACCCCACACCTGATTGAGATTACAGAATACCGAGGTATAAAGAGACTGGTACTTTTGGAAATTACCAATGCTTGCTGAAGAGATGATCAGTTGAAAATATGAGGAATGGACATTTAATTAGGTTGTTGCTTCAGGTTTTGAAGTGCAAGTTTCTGGTAGTAGCTATTTTTTTGTTTTGGGTTCTCTTGAAGGCAGATCCTGAAGTGGGACATTGGAATAAACAGTTTCTTTGAGAGGTGACATTAGGAAGCTACAGGGGAGTCAGGAGTACGCTATTGGAGAGGAAGAGATACTAGAAGGTGCATTCCCATGGGTGTCATTGGATCCTCTATTTGGTTAGATGCTCCACAGTTCTTCTCTCAAAGAACAGGAAACTAGTTCTTATCCATCATTTGCTGAGGAATGTCTTGGGGTCTTAATACAGAAATATACATGGGTTGCATTTTCAGCCAGCTAAGTAGTTTTCTCAGAACCCAGGCCACTATAGAAAGATCAGAAGCACAGACTTGAAATGACCACAGTGCTAGCCTGTTCTGAGTTGGCAGCACACAAATCTGGTCCATTCCATCTGGGACTGGAATTAGAATTGGGTCAAGGACCCAGGATACCAGAGCATCTGCTCTAGCTAGCATTGACTGTGTTCACTGAGTGTCAGGGTCTGTTGTAAGAGAAAGCACGTGCATTTTCTCACAGTCACACAACTACCCGTGAAATGGATGCTGTGCCTGTGTATTTCATACAAGATATGGAGCCATAGGGAGGTCGAGCAACTTGCCCAAGACCTCAAATATATGCAAGATCACAAGTGGCTGATACAGGATTACTAACCTGGCCAGTGTTGTGCACACTCCTAGCTCAATTATACTCCACTCTTCTTCACTCTAAATTTGCACTCTGTCTGCTACCTTTTCTGTAGTATTTCCCCAACCCTTCATTGCCCCTGCCACTTACTTTTTGTGGTGTAAGCTTTTGCAAACATGTACAGCCATGTAACTTCAGCAATCTATGGAGCAGTTCACTGGGTCCCTAACCCTTTCATGATCCTTTACAGTAAACCCCTTCCCCACTCTCAGCTTCTCAACATCACTAGAGTTGCTTTGTTTCCCTATAATTCTGCCTTTGTAGAAAAGTCAAGCAAATGGAAACAAGCCACATATATCGCCTTTTGAGTCTCGTTTCTTTTTTTCACATACTGGTTTGCAAATCACCCAAGCTGTTATAAGAATGTATAGTTTGTGCCTTTCATTTACTGAGTAATATTTCATCACGTGGCTGAACCACGGTTTGTTCATTTTTATTCCCCAGTTGAGGGACATTTGGGTTGTTTCCAATTTTTGATAATTACGAAGAAAGCTACTTTAAGCACTTGCACAGAGGCTTTCTATAAATATGTTTTCATTTCACTTGGATAACTACCTAGACATAAGATAACTGACATTAAGTATATGCTTACCTTTTTAAGAAATTGCCAAACTGTATTTGAAATTCAGTACTGTTTTACATCCTCACCAATAACTTATAGAAGTTTTTCACATTCTTACCAGCACTTCAAAAAGTTAGGAATTCTCATAGGGCTTTAGCCACAATTATGATAGTTTTTATGTGTTTGTTTGATGATAAATGATGTTGAATATGTCTTGTATACTTATTTGTAATGTGTGTATCTTCTGTTTTAACTATATGCCCATTTGTTTTATTGGATTGCTTCCTTATTAATGAATTTTGAAAGACATTTTATAATTTGTACTTTTTAATAAATCATGTATGTGTACTACAAGTGTTTTCTAATACATGGCTAGTCTTTTTATTATCTTAACTAGGAGCTAGCAGAAGTGAATTATCTGTGTTGATCTCAACAGACCAGTAGTTTTTGATTCTTGTCATAGGTCTTGCTAGTTTTTGTGCCTCTTTATGCATATATGCCAAGCATAATTCACATTTCACTTGTAGACCTTTAGAAAATTCAGGAGCATCATTTTCTGGGATCCATTCTCTTTCTTTCTTTTCCATTTTTATAGTCTGTGGTTTGGGTGGTATGCCTAAGTGAGCTTTTGCTAATTAGAGTTCATCAAGTTCTCCTGAAAGTTTTACTGTTTTACATAAAGGCATGTAATTCATTTTGAGTTAATTTCTGTGGGGGTTACGTAGTAAAGTCCAAGACACTTTTTATTACAATATGGAAAGGTAATTGTTCCAGTGTCATTTGTTGAAAAGACTACACTTTTGCCATTGATTTGTTTTTGCACATTTATTGAAAGTCAGTTGACCACATATGTACGGGTCTATTTCTGGACTGTATTTTGTTCCATTGATCTACATGTCTATTGTTTCTCCAATACCACTCTCTTAACTGCTATAGCTTTATGGAAGAAAATCTGGAAATAAGATAATGTTATTCCTGTAATTTCATACTTCTTTTTTCAAATTTCTTTTCCTATTTCAATGCCTTTTGCCTTTAATATATTTACAGCCAGCTTGATTATCTTCAAAAACATTTTCCCTAGGTTAGGACTGGAATTTTATTCAATCAATATAACATGATTTGGGAAAACTAACATCTTAAAATATTCCTTTTCTTTTATCATTAATTAGTCAGAGGGACTGATTATAAGCAATATAAGGAAAGGAATATATATTAAAACATGACTGTAGTGCAGTAATTAAGTAGTACAGAAATTATGATGACTGTTTCTCAAGTTTTTACTTAACATATTGTAAATATCAACAGAACAAAACTACTTTGTGTAGAAGTGAATTATCTGTGTCGATCTGAACAGAGCAGTAGTTTTTGATTCCTGTTATAGGCCTTGTTCATCCCACCCCCCCCCCGTATGTATTTATGCCAAGCATAACTCCCATTTCATTTGTAGGTCTTTAGAAAGTCCAGTAAGCTGTTAAAAATCCACAGTTCTGAAAGTACTGATTAAAAGTGATATTTTCTGCTACTAAGCTCCAAAATGAGGACTCCATAAGAGATAATTTTAAGATGTACTGTAGGCAGAGAGCAGATTTAATGCAGGTCTTTGACATTAAGTATTTGTCTTTCTTGCATCTGCATATATTTTTTAATGCAAACTCTTGCTAATTACTAAAAATTTTATGATATCTCTGCATAGCTCTTAACTAATAACAGAAAAACACAAGCGTTTCTGCTGTGGAGGGTGGGGCTTTCTTTAGCATTCACTGGTAATTTAGAATTTTCTTGCATTTACCTCTAGCTTCAGTTCCCTTTTCCATTGTTAATGTCCTGAATTCAACTTTCAGAACTCTGCTACTTGCCAGTTCAGATTTTTAACCTTCCCCAGCCTATTGCTGGCTTCTTGGCAGAATGTCAACTCTGTCCAAGCAGGACGTCAGACCAGTCCAGATTAAACTAGCTTGATCTAAGAAACAAGCCAGTGCAAAACAGCAAGATCCTCGTTAATTTTAATTAACAGTTCCAAACAGAGTTGCACAACAAGGTCATTTTCCCTAAATGAATTATTAGAGATAATATAAGGCATGGACTTCTCCCAGCAGCATTTCCAAACCCCAGGAGCTGGCAAAAAATGTCCCAGAAAATATCTGTCTTTCCAAGTTAGTCTACTCATGTAATATTGAGGTAAATATTCCGTGAAAACATTGAAGTTGTTGCCCACACCTTTTGTTCCCCACTTGTGTCCTAAAAGATTTAAATCAACAAGTTCACAACCTTTCAGAGAATGGCAAGGAGTGATGTTTCCTTACTTGGAAAAAAAAATACTGATTAAAGAGTCCAAATAGATTTGGATATGAGTTTTCCTTCTAAATGAGAGTATATGAGAACTCACAGGAAATTCTGAATAATTGTCTTTCTATATGTTCACTTGATCCACATTTTATGGATTCCAGTTTATTAAAAATGAACTGGTCACATTTGTTATAAATTAGAGCCTTTAGCTTTTCATTTTA